TCTTGGAAAATACTTATTTCCCATAAAATATGTTGTTTGTGTTAACATGTTATAGATGGGTTTGTTATGTTAAAATGCACTGGTAACAAAATTCCATAGTTTTAATTTCTGGTGCAGCAAATACTGACAGCTATAACACACATAACAAAAGTTCTCTGAGTCATTAACATAACAAGAACATAAACGAAGAATATATATCTGCTGGTATAAAGACTGATTCCTTCTTGGCAATTTTAGTGCTAATCTTTTTTGGCAATCTTTTTGAGAAAAAGACCTCTTAAGCCATGAATAATGTTCAGATTGTAACATGATATAAACCTTGTTTGATTTATTACGTTCATGTTGGAATACACATAGGTATCCAGCAAGTTTACATTTAATAAACAAAAAAGGTACGTAAGAAGCCATAAACACCCTCATGCAAAAGTTCTACTTTCGACAAAACATATGGAATCTACTAAATAAAATATGGAGGAATAAAAATGACACATTTTCTGAGACTGTAACTCTGTAATGAAGCTGGTCTCTGTTTTGTAGCCTTTATCTCCCAAAGGAATACATTCAAGACTAGGTAATGACAGCCTCCTCTATTCCATATATATGGAAACAAATCATGTAAAACTTTGGCAGTACAGAATCATTCCAATCACATACTCAATCTATTAGCAACATGAGAAATAAAGAGAGGGGGCTACTTGAGCAACCAATTTGAAATTCTTTATGGTCAATTTCCAGGTTATACCTGGTACAATTTCCACACCTGTTCCTCTTCATTCTGAGGACACAAAAGAAAAAACAGGAAATGTAGGGAATACAGAAAAGCTAGGGAGTAGAGACACATCTGTGTTTAATCATGGCAAATAAGTAGTCCACACACTGTTACCAACTGTAGCAGTAATTGCTGTGAATACATGAAAAGAAATTCAAAGCATAAAATAACAGCGCTTCCGTTCTTTCTGAAGTCCTTGTAACACATGCCATTGTCACCCTTTTGCCAGGTAGAGAAACCTAGGACTAGGCAGAAGTGCTGCATAAAAACAGCTCTCCCTAAAATCTCCTCTCATCCCTTTCCCCTGGACTAGTCCCCCTACTCAGGACACCCATACTTACCCCTATTCTACCAATGAAACTCTCTGCCTTGACAACTTCTTCCACCTTCCCCTGAACCCCACCTCTGACCCCTACACTCTAAAACCAACCAAGCCCACTGCCCTCCTCAAACAGTGCTTGTACTCTAGGGTTTCTACATGAATTCCTCAACCCTCACGACCAAACACATTTAATCACTTCAAGCCAGGACGACAATCTTAACAATCTGACATAACAAAATGTTAATGAATAATAATGGCTTAGTGTTCTGCTTTCCAAGAAACTTATATACAGCAAAGGCATAAATACATCTCCTTAACTCGGTTTCTCAAATTTGAGTAATACATTAAGTGCCTTTGAAAATAAAAAATTTTTTACCAATTCCAAGGTGTTTGATGTTTAATGTAAACTACAGGATTAAGATAAACATAAATAGTGCTACTTTGTTCCAAAGTGGCCGTTCAGATGATCTAAAATGGACTGTTTAGGTATCCCCCCCTTAATCCTAGTGGGATGCATTCTAAGGCCCCTAGCAGATGCTTGAAACAGCAGATAAGAACCCTAGAGATACTATGTTTTCCCCTATGCATACATACTTATAAGAGAGTCTAATTTATAAATTAGGCACAGTAAGGAATGCTTACTAACAATATGCTATACTAAGAGTTATGTAAATGTGGTCTCTCTCTCCAAATATCTCACTGCAGTGTAATCACTCTTCTAGCCATGATGTGCGATGATCAAATGCTAGGTGATGAGATGAAGTTAAGGGAATGATGTAGGCATCATGACATAGTGTGAGGCTACTCAAGACCTTCTGACAACACTCAGAAGAAGGATCATGTGGCTGCTGGACTGTGGTGGACCACAGGTTACTGAAACCATGGAAAGAGAAACTATAGAAATATAGAAATAAGGAGGGGACTACTGTATTATTTTTAGACTAGCACATGGCCAAACAAAAAAACAAAAAATATTCACAATTTAAAACTTCCCATGAAGAAATTACTAACCCAGAATACATCCATAGCTATTGAATGTCATTTACTTTGTGAACTATCAGTGTGAAAAAAGTGATATAAAGTGGAAGACTTGAAAACCAAAAAGCAATGTTTGAGGAGGTGGATGTTTCCATGTCCTTCAATTTATCATTCCCAATACAATCTTGTAGAATGGCCAACAATGATTTGAATAATTATACTACTTGTATACTTCAGGAAATGCAAGTCTATTTGAATACAGATTAATTTTTCATTCATTTGCAACTTAGGTAATACAATTAGAGTTCAACTTTCAAATGCAGATATGCATGACTTAGAAATTTTTAAAATTTGGTTTTAATACAAATAGACATCTTATAGCAACTTTATAAATAATCTTTTATATATGAAGATGAATATAATCACATGTCTAGCCAGGCTGGCAAGAACAAAGAATAAAATACAGCAATTTTTAAAAAATCATAATAGACCAAGGCACAAATGAATTTATAGCAGGGGATGTGGAGGTGAAGGGGAGTATATTATCTACAGGCTAATAAAAGCTAAATGAACACAAAATTGTATGTGTAGGGAGGGGTGGGAGAATATCTAAGCTAGAAGGTTCGCCCAGTGGTTCTTCAAAAACACTGCACATTAAATAACCTGGGGAGCTTTTAAAAATCCTGATGCCCATGTCACATCCCACACTAATTACACCAGAATTTCTGGAGGTGGGAGCCAGATACAAGTATTTTTTAAAGATTCTCAGGTAAATACAATTCACAGCAAAGTTTGGGAACCTCTTGTTTACCCAACTGAAAGCATTCTAATAATCTGCAAAATAGGATAACTTAGAGCTCTCCAGATCACAAAGTACTTCTCAAAATCCTTATGTCCTTAGTTTCCTAGAGCTGCCTTAACAAAGCACCATGAACTTGGGTGCCTTAAAACAGAAAAGTATTGTCTCATTTCTGGAGGCTAAAGTCTGAAGTCAAGCTGTCGGCAGGGCCTCGCTCCCACCAAAGCCTCTACGGGGGTGGATCCTTCCTTGCCTCCTCCAGCTTCTGGTACCTCCAGGTGTTCCTTGTCTGTGGCAACATAACACCAGTCTCTGCTTCCATCTCCACATGGCCGTCTTCCCTCTGCGTCTGTGTCTTCACGTGGCATTTTCCACTGTGTGTGTGTCCATGTCCAAATTTCCTTCTTATAAGGACACCAGTCACACTGGAATAGGGCCTACCCTTATGACCTTATCTTAATTACATCTGCAAAGACCTTATTTCCAAAAAAGATCACAGTCACAGGTACCAAGGGTTACAATTTCAACCTATTTTGGGGGGAACATAATTCAATCCATAACACCTAACTTTTAAAACTCTCCTAACTAATAAACTAGAAAACTTACTGCTATATGACTTAATGTACAATTCCAGCTTCGAGAGAACAAACTCAAGTATGCTACACCTTTTCAGAGCTTAAAAGGACAACAGATGTGAAGGTACTCTAAACAGAGCATCCATCTTCTTGTATCCCTTCAGCAGCTAGACTACTCCATTATTAAACAATAAAGATTACAAAAATAAACTACCCTCAAGCTAGTGTCTTCTTGCCCTGGCTGCCAAACTTCTGTTTCAAGACACCATTTCAGCAAGTCCAAAATTTTTTAGTCTGGCAATAAATTCCCTTCCAATACCTACAGTTACAGCTTCTATTCCCTCCCACACTCTTACAATCAAGCCTGACTGCACTGTGAAACTTTCACTGTATTAGCTATCGATATTGCAATTTACAAGAAAAAATACATATATTTGGTCATTCGGATGACCAAAAATGTGTATTTCTCATATATATTTGGTTTTAGTCCCAGTTTCCTAAGAGTTCCCAAAATCCTTGGAACTTCACTAGTGGCAAAGGTGTCTCTTGGTATGTTGATGAGGTGACGTTGGCACCACACCTAAGGATGGGGGCTGGTTGTCAGGAGAACCAACCTTGTGTTTAGAGGGTTGGGACTTTTCAGTTCCATACCCTCCCAGTTGTGGGGAAGGGAGAGGGCCTGGAGCTTGAATCAATCACCAGTGATTTGATCATGTCTGTGTAATGAAGCCTCCATAAGAACCCAAAAGGACAGGGATCAGAGAGCTTCCAGGATGGTAAACACGAGGAGACTGGGGGAAGAGTGGCATACCTGGAGAGGACATGGAAGTGCCACGCCCTTTCCCCTCATGCTGCCCTGATGCATCTCTTCCATCTGACTGTTCCTGAGTTATAGCCTTTCATAATAAACTGGTGATCTAGTATGTAAAATGTCTGGAGTTCTATGAGTTGCTCTAGCAAATTAACTGACCCCAAAGAGGAGGCCGTGGGAAGCTCTGATTTATAGCTAGTTGGTCAGAAGCACAGGTAACAAGTTGGGCTTGTAACTGGCATCCTGAGGGGTCGGGAGTACCAAACCCATAACCTGTGGAATCTGACACTATCCCTGGCAGACAGTGTCAAAACTGAGCTGAATTCTCAAATACCAGTATGGTCACTGAGGACTGTTTATTTGTGGGAAGGGAAACACCACCTCGCATTAAAAACTAAGTCTCAGAACATCAACAAAAGTACCACAAACTAGGTGGCTTACAACAGAATTTACTGCCTCATAGTTCTGGAAGTCAGAGGTGCAAAATCAAGGCTTTGGCAGGGCAATGCTCCTGAAGGTGCTAAGGAAGGATCTGCTCCAGGCCTTCCTCCTAGCTTCCTTGGCTTATGGATGCATTACTCTAGCCACCTCACCATGTCTCCCCTAGGACTCTTCACACTGTTTTCCCTCTATGTCTGTGTCCAAATTTCATTTCTATAAGGATACCGGTCATACTGGATTAGAGCCTACCCTAATGACCTCATTTTAACTTAATTATCTCTGTAAAGACCCTATTTCCAAGTAAGTTTATATTCTGAGGTACTGGGAGTTTGGATTTCAGCATATGAATTGTGGATGATACAATTCACCCCGTAACAATCATCAAGCTGAGAAAGCCCAGGATTAGTAAATATAGATGCCATCATTTTACCCCTTCAAAAGTGTAGATGGCAGGTGTAGATAAAGGTTAACAAAAGCCTTTTCTCCCTGACGTTCAGTTATCTCCTCAGCATGCCCGTCAGATAGATAGATAATCCCTTTAAAACAGAATTCAAAACAATACTAATTATGGTGACTATGAAGGCATCAATATACAGGGATCAATTTAAGTGACTTTATGTGGGCGAACGTATTACTGTTGAGAATTCAAATCACTCTTCAATTTTCCTACAACTGAGTTATTCATCCCCACGCCAACAACTGGACTGTGGCCATGTGACATGCTTTGGCCAATGGAAATTGAGCAGATGTGGTACATACCACATCCAATCACAATTTTAAAGGTATTACAAGTGTATGCCAGGTCTCCTGCTCTTTAATCTTGCCAAAAGAATGAGCATGTCCCATATACTGGGCCTGCTCTAAGAGCCTGGATCACCAAGTGAGAAGACACAGAACAAAGGCACAGCCAACCAACATTATCTACGTTTAAGATAAACAGAAAATAAATACTTTTTTAAACTAGTAAAGTTATTTGTAGTCATAAAGAAAACTAATATACCTTAAAGCACTATTCTGACTGCACATAATCCCTAGGGACAAAAAAGAATCACAAAGAAACTTTAAATTGCTTTCAGCAGTCTTCAAATTTTTCAGAAAGAAAAAATATATACAAATAGAGAGGCAGTAAAAATTGTTTTGTTTTCTCTTCATGATGTAGTGCTATAGAAGCTGGCTACATCTGGAGGACGTAGAGCAATATGCTAGGAAGGTAAGAAGTGAGGAGCTCAATGTGTCACACTGTGCTACAGAACAATTTGTCTTGATGCCAAATATGTTTTGACCATTTTATTATGAAACTCGTATTTGACGGAACTGAATACAAAAAACTAAAATTATTTTACTGTTTATAATACTGATATATTTTCAGTAAAATCCATGCAATACCATCAAGCTTTAAAGCCCTATAGTTATACACATGAATTAAAATATAACTAGGAACTTGTGATTTGTTTTTCTCTTACTAAAAATATACATTTCCTAGGCCTAAAACCACCTACAAGCAATTAATGGCAACCTCGTATTAGAAGCACTCTATACTTGGATTATAGTCTCTAAATAAACACTGTCCACTAAAAGGAGTCAAAACTCCCTACAGGAATAGCCAATTTCAAATGGGCTGAAGCAGGAAGCCTGGAACATCTTGTCATGCAAGAAAGCAAGGAGACTACCTTGACCACTCCTGTCATGTTGAAAGGATACAGAAACAAAGTGAATTAAACCACCTCAAAAAGAGATTATAAAAATTAAAAATAAAATTCACATCACTGGTCACCTTGAGAGGTTACTAGAGTACCACCAATTCAGTATTCTGAAAATTGGTAACTAAAACATTCAGGCACATACTCTGCCTTTCTTGTGCAAGTTCTATTTCAGAGTATCACAATACTTGATTAGGAACAGTAATTTACAGAATTCCAGCCAATCAATGCAAAAACAATGATATAATTAGAAAATAATCATTCCTATCCCTAAGAAAATAATGAATCTAAGCAACGCTTATGAAAGGTGCTAAGCCCAGTGCAACTGTGTAATGGGTGGATGAGGCTAACAACAACTGAATCAACTAATTGATATCACCATCACTGAAAGTGACACAACCAGATGGTTTATGCCTCATGTGGTATCATGCAAATGGAAGAAAAAAGACTTCATGATCAAAGAACCCAAAGTGAATTTAATCAGGTTTCCAACTACCACTTTACAGAAATTCAGGACAAGAGTAAAATATGTTAGTAATACAAGGATGCAGAGCCAAATTCAGAATATAGGAAATTCGACAAGACAAATGAATCACTTTCTCATACCAATATGTGGAAGGGGCTTAAATTTAGCCAACCAAAAGCAGTATGCAGACCTTATTTGGATTCTGACAAAAACCAACCATCTAAAAAGGTCATTTGGGAGAGAAAAGAAAAACAAATTTTTTTAAAGACTTTATTTATTTGACAGAGAGAGACAGTGAGAGAGGGAACACAAGCAGAGGGAGTGGGAGAGGGAAAGGCAGGCTTCCCGCCCAGCAGGGAGCCCGATACCGGGCTCGATCCCAAGACCCTGGGATCATGACCTGAGCCGAAGGTAGACGCTTAATGACTGAGCCACCCAGGCACCCCGACAAAAGAAAAAATTTAATTCCCTTTACCTCTTCCTGTTTCTCATAAGGCTTGTATCTTTTGTGGACCACGGTACATGAAGTCTAACCTTTTCTCTATCTTAATGGGAAGGGTAGGGGCAACTGTAACAATGAGGGCAGTAAGTATAAGACAATAAAATGACTTATTTCATACTCCACATGTATCCCAGTAGTCTTCTAATCCTTACTTTGTTTAAAGATTAAGATCCTCATTTGAATATAAAATCCTGGGCTTGACTCTGTTCTGGAAAGTAGCTTCAGAGAAGATGACTTTGAGTTCATCGAGACATAATCAAGGGTTTTCATCAAAAATATATATACCATTTAACATCAAACTGCTGATCAATTTAGTGTTTCTCAAGCATAGATATTAAACAGCCTTCTTCCTTCAACATAACACAAATGTGTACTATGTACTCAAATAAGTAGTTTTTTTAAAAATTTTATTATGTTATGTTAATCACCATACATCGTTAGTTTTTGATGTAGGGTTCATGATTCACTGTTTGCATATAACACCCAGTGCTCCATTCAATACATGCCCTCTTTAATACCCATCACCAGGCTAACACAACCTCCCACCCCTCTCCCCTCGAGAACCCTCAGTTTGTTTCAGAGTCCATAGTCTCTCATGGTCCGTCTCCCCCTCAGATTTCCCCCCCTTCATTTTTCCCCTCCTACTATCCTTTTATTTTTTTTAAACATATAATGTATTACTTGTTTCAGAAGCACAGGTATGTGATTCATCAGTCTTACACAATTCACAGCACTCACCATAGCACATACCCTCCACAGTGTCTATCACCCAGACACCCCATACCTCCCACCCCCCACCATTCCAACAACCCTCAGTTTGTTCCCTGAGATTAAGAATTCCTCATATCAGTGAGATCATATGATACATGTCTTTCTCTGACTTATTTCGCTCAGCATAATACCCTCTAGTTCCATCCACGGTGTTGCAAATGGCAAGATTTCATTCTTTTTAATGGCTGCATAATATTCCATTGTACATATATACCACTTCTTCTTTATCCATCCATCAGTCGTTGGACATCTTGGCTCTTTCCATAGTTTGGCTATTGTGGATATTGCTGCTATAAACATTGGGGTGCACCATACCCCTTCGGATCTCTACATTTGTATCTTTGGGGTAAATGCCCAGTAGTGCAATGTCTGGGTCGTACAGTAGCTCTATTTTCAACTTTCTGAAGAACCTCCATACTATTTTCCAGAGTGGCTGCACCAGCTTGCATTCCCACCAACAGTGTAGGAGGGTTCCCCTTTCTCTGCATCCTCGCGAACATCTGTCGTTTCCTGACTTGCTAGTTTTAGCCATTCTGACTGGTGTGAGGTGGTATCTCATTGAAGTTTTGATTTGGATTTCCCTGATGCCGAGCAATGTTGAGCACTTTTTCATGTGTCTGTTGGCCATTTGGATGTCTTCTTTGGAAAAATGTCTGTTCATGTCTTCTGCCCATTTCTTGATTGGATCATTTGTTCTTTGGGTGTTGAGTTTGATAAGTTCTTTATAGATTTTGGATACTAGTCCTTTATCTGATATGTCATTTGCAAATATCTTCTCCCATTCTGTCGGTTGTCTTTTGGTTTTGTGGACTGTTTCCTTTGCTGTGCAAAAGCTTTTTATCTTGATAAAGTCCCAATAGTTTATTTCTGCCCTTGCTTCCCTCGCCTTTGGAGATGCTTCTTCTTCTAGGAAGAAGCTGCTGTGGCTGAGGTTGAAGAGGATGCTGCCTGTGTTCTCCTTTAGGATACTGATGGACTCCTGTCTCACATTTAGGTCTTTCCACGATTTTGAGTCTATCTTTGTGTGTGGTGTAAGGAAATGGTCCAGTTTCATTCTTCTGCATGTGGCTGTCCAATTTTCCCAACACCATTTCTTGAAGAGACTGTCTTTTTCCCACTGGACATTCTTTCCTGCTTTGTCGAAGATTAGTTGATCATAGAGTTGAGGGTCCATTTCTGGGCTCTCTATTCTGTTCCATTGATCTATGTGTCTGTTTTTGTGCCAGTACCATACTGTCTTGATGATGACAGCTTTGTAATAGAGCTTGAAGTCCAGAATTGTGATGCCGCCAGCTTTGCTTTTCTTTTTCAACATTCTTCTGGCTATTCGGGGTCTTTTCTGATTCCATACACATTTTAGGATTATTTGTTTGATTTCTTTGAAAAAAGTGGATGGTATTTTGATAGGGATTGCATTAAATGTGTAGATTGCTCTAGGTAACATTGACATCTTCACAATATTTGTTCTTCCAATCCATGAGCATGGAAGGTTCTTCCATTTCTTTGTGTCTTCCTCAATTTCTTTCATGAGTATTCTATAGTTTTCTGAGTACAGATTCTTTGCCTCTTCGGTTAGATTTATTCCTAGGTATCTTATGGTTTTGGGTGCAATTGTAAATGGGGTCCAATCCTTAATTTCTCTTTCTTCTGTCTTGTTGTTGGTGTATAGAAATGCCACGGATTTCTGTGCATTGATTTTATATCCTGCCACTTTACTGAATTCCTGTTATGAGTTCTAGCAGTTTTGGGGTGGAGTCTTTTGGGTTTTCCACATAGAGTATCATGTCATCTGCAAAGAGTGAGAGTTTGACTTCTTCTTTGCCAATTTGGATGCCTTTTATTTCTTTTTATTGTCTGACTGCTGTGGCTAGGGCTTCTAGTACTATGTTGAATAGCAGTGGTGATAGTGGACATCCCTGCCGTGTTCCTGACCTTAGGGGGAAAGCTCTCAGTTTTTCCCCATTGAGAATGATATTCACTGTAGGTTCTTCATAGATGGCTTTTTGATATTGAGGTATGTACCCTCTATCCCTATACTCTGAAGAGTTTTGATCAAGAAAGGATGCTGTACTTTGTCAAATGCATTTCCTGCATCTATTGAGAGGATCATATGGTTCTTGTTCTTTTATTAATGTATTGTATCACACTGACTGATTTGCAGATGTTGAACCAAACTTGCAGCCCAGGGATAAATCCCACTTGGTCATAGTGAATAATCCCTTTAATGTACTGTTGGATCCTATTGGCTAGTATTTTGGTGAGAATTTTGGCATCCATGTTCATCAGGGATATTGGTCTGTAATTCTCCTTTTTGATGGGCTCTTTGTCTGGTTTTGGGATCAAGGTAATGGTGGCCTCATAGAACAAGTTTGGAAGTTTTCCTTCCATTTCTATTTTTTGGAACAGTTTCAGAAGAATAGTTATTAATTCTTCTTTAAATGTTTAGTAGAATTCCCCTGGGAAGCCATCTGGCCCTGGGGTTTTGTTTGTTGGGAGATTTTTGATGACTGCTTCAATTTCCTTAGTGGTTATAGGTCTGTTCAGGTTTTCTATTTCTTCCTGGTTCAGTTTTGGTAGTTGATACATCTCTAGGAATGCATCCATTCCTTCCAGGTTATCTAATTTGCTGGCATATAGTTGCTCATAATATGTTCTTATAATTTTATTTCTTTGGTGTTGGTTGTGATCTCTCCTCTTTCATCATTCATGATTTTATTTATTTGGGTCATTTTTCTTTTTGATAGGTCTGGCAGGGGTTTATCAATCTTATTAATTCTTTCAAAGAACCAGCTCCTAGTTTCGTTGATCTGTTCTACTGTTCTTTTGGTTTCTATTTCATTGATTTCTGCTCTGATCTTTACTATTTCTCTTCTCCTGCTGGGTTTAGGCTTTATTTACTGTTCTTTCTCCAGCTCCTTTAGGTGGAGGGTTAGGTTGTGTATTTGAGAACTTATTTCTTGAGAAAGGCTTGTATTGCTATACAGTTTCCTCTTAGGACTGCCTTTGCTGCATCCCAAAGATTTTGAACAGTTGTGTTTTCATTTTCATTTGTTTCCATGAATTTTTTTAATTCTTCTTTAAATTTCCTGGTTGACCCATTCATTCTTTAATAGGATGCTCTTTGGCCACCATGTATTTGAGTTCTTTCTGACTTTCCTCTTGTGATTGAGTTCTAGTTTCAAAGCATTGGGGTCTGAAAATATGCAGGGAATGATCCCAATCTTTTGGTACCGGTTGAGACTGATTTGTGACCTAGGATGTGATCTATTCTGGAGAATGTTCCATGGGCACTAGAGAAGAATGTGTTTTCTGTTGCTTTGGGATGGAATGTTCTGAATATATCTGTGAAATCCATTTGGTCCAGTGTGTCATTTAAAGTCTTAATCTCCTTGTTGATCTTTTGCTTAGATGATATGTCCATTTCAGGGAGGTGGGTGTTAAAGTCCCCTACTATTATTGTATTGTTCTTGATGTGTTTCTTTGCTTTTGTTATTAATTGGCTTATATAATTGGCTGCTCCCATGTTAGGGGCATAGACATTTACAATTGTTAGATCTTCTTGTTGGATTGACCTTGTAAGTAGGATATAGTGCCCTTCCTCATCTCTTAACTATAGTTTTTGGTTTAAAATCTAATTTGTCTGATATAAGGATTGCCACCCCAGCTTTCTTTTGATGTCCATTAGCATGGTAAATAGTTTTCCACCCCCTCACTTTCAATTTGCAGGTGTCTTTGCATCTAAAATGAGTCTCTTGCAGACAGCATATCGATGGATCTTGTTTTTTTTATCCAATCTGATACCCTGTGTCTTTTGATTGGGGTATTTAGCCCATTCACATTCAGGATAACTATTGAAAGATAGGAATTTAGTGCCATTGTATTGCCTTTAAGGTGACTGTTACTGTATATTGTCTGTGTTCCTTTCTTGTCTGTTACTTTTAGGCTCTCTCTTTGCTTAGAGGGCCCCTTTCAATATTTCTTGTAGGGCTAGTTTCATAACACAAATGTATAGTATGTGCTCAAATAAGTAGTTTTAAAGAAACAAAATTCTAAGGCCGTGCAAGGAGAGTGAGTGTTTTTCTTCTCTGCTCTCAACCTCACTTGTTTCTTGGAAAGGGAAAGCATTTAGAGAGAAAAGAGGAAAGCGTCTACACCCATAGACAGCAACTTCAGAATCAGTTTGATTTACTCCAAAAATATTAAGAAATAAGTAGTAAAGCTTTCTTATTAGAACAGCGAAACCCCTTGATTACCACATGGTAATGATATTTAACCTTTGTTTTTTATCTCAATTATGTAACTACCCCCCCCAACACAATTTTCTCGCACAGTTCTCTAAAACAGAAAGGAAAAATTAATATTCTTTCAAAAATATATGAAGTTCTGGGCGCCTGGGTGGCTCAGTCGTTAAGTGTCTGCCTTCGGCTCAGGTCATGATCCCAGGGTCCTGGGATCGAGCCCCACATCGGGCTCCCTGCTCGGCGAGAAGCCTGCTTCTCCCTCTCCCACTCCCCCTGCTTGTGTTCCTGCTCTTGCTATCTCTCTCTGTCAAATAAATAAATAAAATCTTTAAAAAAAAAAAAAATAAATGAAGTTCTGCTTGGGCCACTGATCTCAAGAACATCTGACCTCAATTAAAATAGCTAATGTTATAATAAGAGTTACTGTTATAATAAGAATGTTATATATAAAATGTTATAGTGAAAACGAATACATATTAAATTAGAACAAATAAGCATTTGAATCACTATGTTGTACAAGTGAAACTAATGTAACAATGTGTGCCAACTATACAATTTAAAAAAAGAAAAAAGAATGTGAATTGAGTTATATACATTTTTAAGACTAAAACTGTTCCCACAAGTCACATCTATTTTCACTCTACTACAAGGTGTCTCAGCATTTTTATAGGTGCTCTATTCACCTAAAAGCTCAAAATGTAAATTATAGTAAGTGTACAAATCAGGAGGAAAGTAGTATTTTTGGGGGTCTGCTGATATAAAATTAACTGCTAACTGATATAACCTATAAAGAATCACAGGCGTTAGAGCTGAGTGGAACAAGAGAATTTTTCCCTTCCTGTTGTAGGTTGCCCAGATTAATGAAAATATCAAAGCAATTACATGTAAATAATCACTGTCTTCTTAAAAAAAAAACAAAAAAAAAAAACCTGATTTAAAAGACTAAAAGGGATGGCTATAGCACCAGGTATGAACATTATGGAAAACTGAACCCACTGCAATAGTGCCTATGCAACAGATGAATACAAAGCATCTGCTATCATTTCCAAAACTTCTATAGAGATTTGGATTAGGAGAGGAAGAGCAAGAAGATGAAACAAAGACCTCCACCTGTCTAGTCTGTGTCTGGTTACCTGATCAGATGTCACTGGATTATCTTATAAAAAATTTTAATCTATTCATGGCCAGCAGGTAGGAGTATGAAATTATTTCCCTTTCATCTGGTTCTGTGTTTTAAAAAAGCATTCTGCGCTGAAACTCAAGACTGCCAGAAACTAAGAAACTAAAAGAATGTTCCTTTTTTCCATTATGTAGTGGAAATGAGTTCACCTTTTTCTTGTCCCTGCTTATATTATTAGTGGTAAAGGAAACTGAGGGCAATACTTAAACAAAGAAAAGTAGTCAGAGATAACAGCAACAAATGAGAGGATTCATTTCAAAATTGTTTTTTGTTGATATAGATCACTGCTCTAAAGAAAAAATAAACACTGGATCATACAATGTGTGGTATAGACGAGATTTTTCAAACACTGGTGACTCAACACTCTGTGAATGACAACTTACGCTCATTAAAAAAAAAAAAATGCAAGCTACAGGACAGCAGATACTTGATCCTTGTTATTCACTACTATACTTGTGCCTGGAATATAGCCCGATTCACAAAAGGCGCTCAATTATTATTTGTTGCAAACAGTGAATAAAGCTCTTTCTTTTTTTTTTTTTTTTAAAGATTTTATTTATTTATTTGACAGAGACAGCGAGAGCAGGAACACAAGCAGGGGGAGTGGGAGAGGGAGAAGCAGGCTTCCTGCTGAGCCGGGAGCCCGATGTGGGACTCGATCCCAGGACCCTGGGATCATGACCTGAGCCGAAGGCAGTTGTTTAACCAACTGAGCCACCCAGGCGTCCCAAACCTCTTTCTTTCTACTAGTCAGTAGTGTTTTAAAAGATGAGAAAGATAATCTTCAATGACATTCAATGTTCCTTCTCATCCATTCCTAATTTGATCTCCATTAGCTGCACAATTTTGATTACTTGTATCTCCATTTCATTTTGGCCAAACCCTGAATATGAAAAAAGAAAAAGGCCCACCACACTCATTTCTAGCCAACCAGTGGTCCTTGCTTACTTAGTATGGTATTATCAAATTCACCTTTGGCAGCTTTTTCAAAGTAATGTCATAAACTTCATGACAACCCTGAAGACTCTTAAATTTCAGCAAATCAGAGGTACAGCCCACGCATGTATATTTTAACAACTTTCTCAGGTCATGTAAACCATGACTTGTGCATCATGCCACAAAATTCAAAAACTTCGCTATCTTTGAATCTTGTAACTAGAACACACACACACACACATACCTCTCTTTTACTGTAAACTCCTTAAATCTTTGATCTACTCAGTTTCTAATCAAACAGGTTTTCATGGTCATCTCAAATTACTCATACTTCTCAGTATCCTTCAATCTGTCATCATACCTCCTGACCGTATCTATTTTCCCTCCATTTTGATGCAAATCTACTGATCTGACATTTCAACAACAAATGCTCGTGACATTCAGCTCAAATAGTCTTGCTAATTCCCACTCAAGCCCTGTCACTTATGTAAACCCCAAACCATAATGGTATCTAACATCATTTTGCCTCTCTGAGCCATTTGGAAATCATTTTATTATGTCTTTAACTTCCTTATCAAATTTTCCATCATGGATTTAAAAAAAAATTTAACTTCCCTCAAAGAACCCATCTCACCAAAAGCCCCTCAATCTCAGGTGACTTCACTTCTTTGGTAAAAGTTTAGCGCTTCCTTGACTTTTTGTTTACTTCAAAATCCTTATTTACTTTCTGAGGAAGTAAAAAAAAGATACAAAAGAGAAAAAAACTGTACCATAGAATCTGTTGGGTCTTCTATGATATACTACCATATAATGAGAAAAATTACTAGTCTTTCTTTAGGGAATTTAATACAGAGGCTAACAAAAACAATAGCTTTTCTCTGGTCCAATAATAAGCACCTTTAAATACAGACAAGAAAGTAAATATTCCATTTACAAGAGCAAAAAAAACTATCAAGTATTTACTAAATTTATATGACTAAATGTAGTACTCTATTGAAAGACACAAAGATCTGAGCAAAGGAAAAGAATGGATTGGTCTTGTATTTGTGTTGCAACATGTGACCATCCACCTAAAAGAAAACAAAAGTGGGCACACGTGTTTTACAACAGACAAAATAAATTCCAGACAGATTTAATACTTGGATATTTTAAATAAATGCCATGTGTGCATGTATCTATACACACACACTTCACGTACACATCTTAACACTGACACTACACGTCTAATATAGAGAGCAGAAAAAATCCTTTTAACCGAACTAGAAACTCAAAAACTATACAAGAAAAGATAGTTGTATCTGAGTACATAAAGACTTGCTAGTTTATCAAGGAAATACATATCAAAATGGTAAGGAGTAAAATTACACTCACTAAAATTGGTAAATATTTAAAAGATCTAGAATGCCTATTTCAGACAGAAATGTGGAGGAAGGTTATTCCCCTGTATTTCAAGTGAAGATGTGAAAAAACCTTTTGAAAAACAATTTGTCAACCTCTATTACAAGTAAGATTAGACTGAATCGTTAAGAATTTGATATTTTGTTGTTGTTGTTAAAATGGTCAGTCAACAAATACACACACCCTACAACCTAGAGAAATATAAGTTCCTAAGGATATTTATTTTAGGAACACTGTTTAGTGGGGAAAAAGGAAAAACAAAGAAATAAAGTAAATGTTCATTAAAAGAGGAGTACCAAGACTGTAGAATATATATTCATAATATTCATGTATTACACAATCATTAAAAATAATAAACTGTTGGGAGGGACAAAAGGAAAGAGTTTCATCTTATGTACAAAATGTAAATAATCACATTTACACATTTAAGTATAATGTATAAAAGAAAAATGTTTGTAAAATTATTTTTGTTATTGTTAAAGTTCTACTTTTGACCTTTTGAACTTAAAACACTTTATTAATCACCGCCAAATTCAATGGGTTTTCATACTCTTTAATCTCCACTCCTGACCATTTTCAGCATTTAAGAAGAAAATGAGAACAGTCTTTGAACTTCTAACAGTTGGCTTCCTGACTCTGCCCTCTCTCCTCTCTTGAACTGATTTTTCTTCCTGCCCTAACATATGTACGGCTGACTTCTTTTTAGCCTTCTGATATTCTGTCTTCTGTCCCAACTAATGATCTCAAACACTCTAAAGAATGAGAAAACCACCATCTTTCCTATTATGTGCCACTCCACACATCGCGATCTTTCCCACTCAAGGAATCCAATTCCAGTTGACTGACGCACACATCTATTTCTATGCCTTTTTGGAATCTCAGAATTCAGTATTATCTGAGGCAACTTATGTCCTATACTCCCAAATTTGTTTCTCCTCTTGCCCATAACTATCACTGATTCTACCATTCACCACACATGAAACTTGATTCTACCATTCGCCACACCTGAAACTTCAGTATCATGTTGGATTAACTTCCTATCTCAGCTCTTACCTGCAACTTTAGAGTCTGTCTCCTATTACCTGTACAGCACCACTTTCAGCAATGCCTTTCTTTCCACAGTACCTGCCACCTGTATTACTACATTAGCCTCAGAGTCTCCTAGGTCTCTTCCTATTATCTTCTGACACCAAGGCATAAAACATAACTGATTATATCATATATATTTACTGCTACTTAATAACTTCCACATTTCACTCCAAAGGGATTAGCCAGGCACTTAAGTTCCCCATTCTATGATCTCAAAGTATCTAGCCATACAATATCTTTTGAATTTACTCTACCCATCAGGTACATATATTCAGGTCTATCATTCTAAAACCCCTGCTTTTTATTTAGCTCTTTGTTCCAACTATAAGTGCTGAAATTCTTCTATTCTTCAAATGTCATCTCCTTATGAAGCCTATTCAAATACCAACATCACAGTTGGGTTTGGGGATTTTTTTTTTCCTTTTTTTTCCTCTTCTGAAAACTGGGCAGTAGCAAAAGATTATCAGACTAGAAATCAGAATGCTGATGGTTTCTTTCAAATGCTACTGCTTTTGACATCTGGATATTAAATCAAGCTCCTGAGCCCCAGTTTCTTGTTCTGTAATACAGAAATAAAATTAACCGACACACTTCACAGGTAGGTAGGAATATATGTAAGACCATTATAATTTAATGCTAATGCTGTCATCATATCAGCTCTTATATTTGTTTTTAATATTTAAAAGACAGTCTACACTTTACATCTAGCACCCAACACAGAGTAGCTATTCAAATGTATTTAAAAAAAAAAACTTCATGTTCTAAAATATAGCACTCCCATTCCAGCATGAAATATAATCCATGCACAATTTATGTATACTTACACACAGATTTAAAAAAAAAAATCCACAACCCTTCTTCCCACACGTAGGTTTTCAATAAAACTGTTGTCACATGACATTTCTGGACCTCTGATTTAGTTCACCTGAAACCCAATTAGTTATCTGGCAGGTGGGTAGGGACCCTTTAAAATGGCTGATAAATAACTAAATAGTCGAAGAACTCCAAAAACTTTACAATATGTACTATGTAAGTGATACAAAGTATCTGTGTGAGGGGACTGTGATGGTGGTATGCTGTCCAATCCAACAAATTTATCCAGCATTCAGAGTTGAGCATTAGTGCTTTAGTTTACCTTAAAATTGCGAATGTTGACATCATGGTTATTTCAGTGACATAAGACAACAGATTTAAAAAAATGACTATACAAGAAAAACATGTTAATTTTCATTAAGCTGAAAAGACTTTGTTTTTTTCCTCTTTCACAAAAGCAAAATTAATGATGGACAGTGTTCATAAAAATTCAAAATAAAATGGAAAGGGGAGTAGAAATGACACGTTAGTCTTATAGAAACCTATAAATCATATACTATGAGAACCTGAAAGTCCTTGAGTTACCCCTGAAAACCATGTTATATCTTAGAGCACGTAATATCTTACACCAGAAAACAAGAAAACTACCTAAAATTAGTAGGGTCTTGTCTGAAGGACACAAGAACCAATGTGAACAAGCACTCACTAGCCAAAAATGGGAGAATCTGAACATCAATACAAAAATAACTCAAAAGTCTAAAACGCAAATATGCTTATTTAAATCCATGAGTTCACAGGATAAGCCACTGTTATCACAATTATGTCACACCACTGGCTAATATTTCTTGGCATGTTATTACTTCACAAAAAAACTGCTCTCCTATCTAGTATCACATCTGCTCTTAGACGTCATATCCACATTCTTGTACATACCTGCAATTCATTTTTTAAATCTAAATTTAAAACTCTACAAAACCATCTGGTCCTATACTTTACCCTACTGCTGTTACAGTAAGGCTTCAGCCTTCCTAAGAGTCTAACTCTTTTAAAAAATAATGGCTGAATGCCAAGAACAAGCAGCACCAAAATGAAGTCACAAGCAACTGGGCTATATTATGGCTTAAGATAAGTATGGGTAAAAAAAAAAAAAAGGAGAGAATGAGTTAGACAGGAATGATGAACAGCAGTTGATGAGTATCAAATCACTGTGTGTTCATTTAAAAAAAAAAAAAAAAGCTCACCCTGTATGTGATGTTGCTGAGTTCCATAAACAAACATCAGGCAGCATGATGTAATAGAAAGAGTCCTGGACTGAGTGAGGGGACCTCTGTTCTAGTCCAAGGCCTCAGTTCCTCATCTGTAAAATGAGGGTGCTGAATTAGATATCTGAGAGGGCTCCTCTAGTTTTAACATTGAGGGAGTCTATGGACAAATTCAAGAAGAAGCAATAAAATGTAGGACTTTTGTTAACAGTGAAGTTTAACTGTTAACATTGGAAACAGTGGGTGGGAACAGAGATGAAAACAATGTTCATAAAATTTTGAACTTCAAAGAGCAATTACTTTATAATTTTTAACTGCTAAAAAGGTTTTTACAATATACCAGCCTTAGTAGCATTATGAAATTAGTAATGAGGGACCAAATTATGACCTGAAAAACCCTATTCACCTTTGGCCAGCCAGACTGCCCAAGTAAATCTAGAAAAATACTGCAGAAACACCTTTGGGCTAACAATTACATTAAGTGATGAAGTGCCTCACAAGTGTCCCCAATTAAGTAACTGAATAAAAAGTAAAATGACAAGAAAAGTGATTAGAGTAAATTAAACATTTAATTTTAACATGCAATAAAATAATTATGCTTGTGATAGCCTTTTTTTGTTAATATTTTCCCTATGCGTAATTTTTTTTTTTTTCCTGCTTAGCTCTCAAAATAGAACCTGGCTTCTCCTCCTGACAGAACTAATTGAAATAATTCTTTTCCCAATGACACTCAGAAACATTTAAAAAGTGTTAAGTTCTCTACACTGAAAGAAATCAAGCTTCTACTAGTAACAACAGAAAGGCTCTGGTGCCTCAAAAAATTGGTGGTTGCCTAACTGCAATTACCTAAATAACATTAATTGCTGGTCCGAGTAAATCCTTCAGGGTCTAATAAGCTGAATACTACGTTTTAAGTTCCTACATCAGCTGACATTCCACTATTTATTTATCCCTTATGCTGATGCCACAGTTCTTACGTGGCAGACTTAAAACTCCAGGGATGTAAGAACCAATAAACCTGTCTCTACAATCAAGAATCTGTCAAAAATCTACTCTTTTAAAGAATGTAATCTGTACCTTTTAAAGGATGTAAAGATACAATGAAACAGTCGGTGAAAAAAAAAAACTTAAAAAAAAAACACCTTGTTTTTTTAAAGCTTGTTTTATGCAAATTACCTAAAGTGATTATAAAATAACTTGGCATACAAGCAATTCCATTAATGATTCATTTGAGCATTTCACCTTGGCAATATATTGCCTAATAAGTTATTCAGAATCACTAATAAAATTCTCTCTGGTTGGTAGAAACAAAGGCAAAAATAAAGCAGTCTTGATGGTAATGAAATTTGTTCTTGGCTAGTCTTAAAATGGTTGTGATATCCATGTATCTTTGAGATAAAAAAAAAATCTGTGAAACAAAATTTTCCTTTACAATGAATTTATTTTCCATTTTAATTTAGGTATTTTGATTTACAATCCTAATGAGCTGATTAAAATACCTTACACTTAATGGTAAACAACAGAAATCAGGATGGATACGCAAAGCATACTTTAGGGCTCTATTTTGAGCATGAGCTGTTTTCAGCAATTTTCTCCATCTACCTTACCACCCCCTCCATGACTTTTTCAGAGAGACTTAAACACTTAGATTATTTACTGAATACTATTAACGATAAAATACTATATTTTAGCCAGTATTATACAGATATAAACTAGCTCCTGCAAAAATTCAGGACTGAACTACTGTCTTGGGTAAATATTCTCCTCTAGGAAGGGTTGGCACCAAGATCAGCAGCAGCTAAAGGAGAATTTGAAATTTAAATAACTAGTTGGTATGTTGCATGAAGCCCACTGATTGTTCCTAACTAAATTTCAATTTGTAGAACATAAACACATCTGTAATTCTTTCCACCACTTATAGAAGTCATCACATAGTATAATTTGCTCAAAGACCAAAATACCTCATTTAGTTATCAATAATACAGAATCCTTGGAACAATGTAAATGGCTATACCTGGGCACAACATAGCAGCACAAGTGCTTTGAAAAAGTTATAGTACCTAGAAATGGCAATTCTTTTTATTACTGCAATACAACTGGAGATAAAAAAGACAAAAGACCAAAAATAAGTACAACTCAGACTATTTTGGTTACTAAGAAAATATGAAGCCCTTATAACATCATACAATTTCATATAACTTTTTATTTTCTAAAATATATTTAATAACTGCTTAGTTTTGTTGGAAATTCCTGTTTCAGGACTGGGGAAAAAAATAACTGCCAATAAAAAAGAAACTGAGTTGATCAAATTAATGGCTAAAAATCTCACATCTCATTATTACAATTTTTAATTAATAATTTGTAATTATTTTAATATTAATGTTTTACTTTTCTCTCATCCTCACCTACTTACAGTTTATTCCGATATATACATTTTAAAACTCTAGCCTATCAGAACAGATTTCCTAAGGGTAAATAAGGATAGGAAATGAATTAGTATTTTGTAAATGTTATACTTAATATGGGGTATTATATTTTAACGGCATTACACTTGTCTCTCAAAAATGTTATAAAAGAACCACAAAATTCTGGAACAATGATCATTTGCCTTTTAACTCAACAAGTCATTAACATACTATTACCATAAAATACAGATTTTTAGAAACAAATTCTAATTTAATCTGGCTAACAATTCTAGTATAAAAATTATTCAGCTTTCCTCTTTCGATAAATGAATACAACATACTTAAAAAAAATGTGTCCTAAGTCAAAATTCATAAATGACAACTGGCCATATTTAAAAAATGGAAAGAGAATCTAATAATTGCCTCTAATGGTATTTTCAAAAACTTGTTCAAAATAAGCAACCCAAGGGATTCCATCTCACATTAATCATACTTGACTCCAAGCATACTCTAATTACGTTTGCATCCCCTCAGACCTTATGTATTATAAATGATCATAATGAGCCTTTGCTATATCACTGTGACGTAATCAAGTTATTTGTGTGGGTATGTTTTGTCTTCTCACTTTTATTGTTCATTTTTATTTCTGTATCGTTCTGCATCCTATAAAGTTCAGAGCTCAGTGTACAGGCACAAAAAATGCCACTCATAAATCTTTTATTTTCAAATTTAAAAAAGTATCAATTTTGATTGTATCTACTAGTAACAACCTATTAACAAACAGGAAACTGATTTAGAAAAATACTACCTACTAGTATTTTTGTAACATTTTATTGTGAAAATTTTCATACATACAGAAAACATTTTAAAAACTGTACTGAAAGTATTCCCATGGCCACCACTAGGATTTAGAATTAACATTTCCTTCTATTTGTCTTACCATTCTCCCAACTGATCTTAACTTTTGAAGTATTTCAAAATGAGCTGCAGATCCATATACTTTCCCCATATACACTTCAGCTTCTGTTACTAATTACAGTGATGTACTTAATACAGTGTTTCAAAGAAAAAATTTACATAAAATACAATGGATAGATATTAGGCTTACCACTCGATATACTCAAGTAACCCAAATACCTAACAGGACACAGGGTATTACCATCACCCTAAAAGTTCTCATATGCCCATTCCCACTTAATCCCTGTCCCCAACACCCATGCACCCATTTTTCTAAGCCCTGCCAACCACTTGTTTTTTAACCATTAGTTTTGCCTGCCCCACCCTGACACACAACAGGTAAATTTGCCTTTTTTTTTTTTTTTTTAAGATTTTATTTATTTGACAGAGAGAGACACAGCAAGAGAAGGAACACAAGCAGCAGGGGTGGGAGAGGGAGAAGCAGGCTTCCCGCCGAGCAAGGAGCCCGATGCAGGGCTCGATCCCAGGACCCTGAGACCATGACCTGAGCTGAAGGCAGACGCTTGACTGAGTCATCCAGGCGCCCTAAGTTTGCCTGTTTTTAGTACATCATAGAAACGGAATCATCATTCTGCCCCATTTTTTTTTAAAGATTTTATTTATTCATTTATTTATTTGAGAGAGTGAGAATGAGAGGGAGGAGGGTCAGAGGGAGAAGCAGACTCCCCGCCGAGCAGGGAGCCCGATGCGGGACTCGATCCCGAGACTCCAGGATCATGACCTGAGCCAAAGGCAGTCGCTTAACCAACTGAGCCACCCAGGTGCCCCATTCTGCCCCAGTTTTATGTAAGGCTATGTTCACTCAGCATTCTGTTTCAGAACTTACTCCAAGTTGCTGCAGGTATCAAGACTTTGTTCCTCTCCACTGCTCAGCAGTATTGTGTTGTATGTACACAGCAGTTTATCTATTTTCTTATTGACAGACATCTGAACTGTTTCCAGTGTAGGGGTCAGCCACACATTTGGCAGAGTTTCTACACAGAATCTGGTATTCCACCACTGTGGTTCTTTCTTCCCTCTTCCTCCTGCTGGACTCTCATTCACTCTACAGCGGCTGTGGTATTTCTCAATTTGATCTGATTCCTCAAGCCAGTAAGACTGCAAACAAGCCAAGAGGAGCCTGCCTGAAGCAAACACCAGCAAGAGGAGAAACTCACCCAAGGGCCATTCCCTTTTAAGAAACCACTTCAAGTCCAGTTCCTACTTGTTTCTGTTTGCTCTACAGTGTCCCCCATGTTTTTCCACAGATTGTCCAGTGGCTGTGCTCACAATCTGTGGGATGATTTGACTAGGAGGAGCCACTGTTTCATTTTTAAAATTATAACTCCCTATTTTTCCACTTGAAAAAAAACTATTATCGACAAATCTCTTTGTGGGGTTTTCCCCCCCTCCTCAAGAGCTTGACTGATGTAGTCCCTTTTGATCCAAAGAGTCAAGCTAAACCAAGAAAAGGCCTTTGGGAGTGGGAGATGATGACAGCTGAAGGAGGGAATACTGTAATTCTGTCCAGTCCCAAAGGCATCCCAAGACATGTATGCAGAACACACCCAAAGAAGCCAAGGTTTTGAGACCCTTTGACATAAGCCAGTCTTCGGGTCCCACACTAATCCTGACGGGTGCATGCAAGGAGGAGGCCCAAAGCAGCACAGCAAAGGCTGTGAACACCAAACTGGCACTGGGCGCTAACACTGCCCGTGCGACAGACAAGGAGA